CAAAATAACCAGGAAGTGTAACTCCACAAGGGATATTAGGATCAGCACCTTTTTCTAATAATAAATCAATTATTGAAGCATAATTTTCAGTTTTATATCTTTTGATCAAATAATTTGCCAATATTGTTCGTTTTGAAGATTTATCTATAGCATTAATATCACAGCCATTATCTACCAAAAAGCTTATCGCAGCTTTAATATTATTACAGTTTTTTTCTTCAGATAATTTAGGATTTAGAGTTAAATAATGTAATGCAGTTTTTTTGGTATCACCACAGATTACATTAAATCTAGATGATATCGTCAACCATCAAAATTACCTAATCCAACATGATAACAAGGATTACATGTTGTAGGCTCTTGGAAATTTATAACACCATTATATTCATTAATATATTTTTGCAATAATTCCTGACACATTTCATCAGGTGACTTTTGAATTGTTTGGTTAATTATTTGGTGTTGATTTTGTTGATTTTGGATCATATTTTGGCCAGTTGGCTGATCAAATCGTCCATACGAATGACTTTGTGGATGAGCTTGTGAATGAGTTTGTGAATAAACATGAGGAATGAACCCTGTTTGGGCTTTATTTTGGTTTATATTTTGACCAGTTGGCTGTTCAAATTGTCCATGGTAACTTTGTGGAATTACTTCAGTTTGAGCTACATTTTTGTGAATGAAATTTGATGAATTTGAAGCTTGATTTGAAATAGGGATCTTTGGCGGAAGAACAGGTGGCTGCTTTAAATTTAACGGGCTCGAATTTAACGGACCCGGATTTAACGGGCTCGAACTTAATGGGCTCGAATTTTGCTGATTTATATTTAAATTATAGTTTTGAGGTGGTGGTGCTTGATTAGGATCACTTTGTTGAAAATAACCATGTTGATATGGTGAACCTTGTTGGAAATAACCATGTTGGTTTGGTGAACCTTGTTGGAAATAACCATGTTGGTTTGGTGAACCTTGTTGGAAATAACCATATTGGTTTGGTGAACCTTGTTGGAAATAACCATGTTGATGCGATGGTGCTTGTTGATAATAATCATGAGATGGAGGTGGAGGTGGTGGTGGTGGTTGAGGAGGAGGGACTTGTTGATAATAACCATGTGGAGATAATGAATTTTGGTCGATTAAATTAGGCAAATTAGGAGCCGAATCATATTGGGGTTTAATATTAAAATTATTTCGAGTAAAAGGAGTAGATTTATGTTGTATTGGATCTATGGCATATGTCACACTTTGTTGCTCTTCGAATTTGTAACGTTCGCATGATTGATTAGCACTTTGGTTATAATTTAGATAAATATCAGGAGGCTTTTTCGGAATGACGGGAGGAATTACAGTTTCCTGGTCAGTATCAAGTTGTGGCGGCTTGTCCGGAAGTGGAGGATCAGAATTCCTTTTATTAATGATAATATCAGGAATCTCGGTTGGAAGTGGCTGATTGACGGGTTCAGAACCAGTTCGATGGTGTGTGTTATCGGAATGAATTGTATTTGAAGGATTTGCAGAAGAGAAAATTTTATTTTTTAATCTTTTCCCGAAGGAGTCATGTGACTTCTTTGTAGAGATTTGTGATTTCATCGAAGGGATAAGCGAATTTTTTAAATTTTTTAACAATTCATCAAGTTCATTATTAATATCACCAATCAAAGGGCGTTCATGAGGATTAAAACTCCAAGCGCGTTGATAAAGTAATTGATAGCCTTGTGGAGTATTTGGAACCGGAGTTTCATGTCCAGGATTTTTCCTTATATCCAATGCGGGTCTATTTTCGAAAGGAGTTTTATTGCTTGAAATTTCCCAAAGGATCATTCCAAAACTGTATATATCAGATGCTTTATCACGTTTGTAACCAGGATTTTTAAAACACACAGGGTCGGTATACCCAGCCATTCCTTTTTTTAAAAAAGAGTCCCACTCAAGAAGACTCGATTTTGATATTCCAAAGTCAGTGATCATCATTCGATCTCCGACAACCAATACATTATTCGGATTCTGAAATGAAAACATGAAATAAATAAATTAATAATTGATAATTGATATTAAATAATAACAAATTAGAAATATACCAGATCTCTATGAGCAATATTTTGATCATGGATAGCTTTAAGTCCACTGGCGA